GTTCCGAGGCCAGCAAGGCATGAGGTACCGGGGATTGAACCCAGGTCCTTGCACTTGTGCTTGCTAGGCAGGTGCTTACCACAGAGCTATCTCCCAGCCCTTTATTGTCTTTTGCTAGGATATCCTTGGGAAGTTCTGTAGTGCTGATTGGTTGTAGTGGGTTGTAGTGAACTCTTTAGGTGCTCTTTGTCAATGAAATACCTTATTTCTTCACCAATTTTAAAAGGAATTTTTGTAGAATATGTAGGTCTAGATTAGACATTATCTTTTAGGGCTTGAAACATTTCTGGTGTTGTATGAAAGGAGAGAAGGTTCGCACTCTCCTTGACTAGGATGGAAGAGGCCCTCCGGCCTGACAACATGCATACAGTTAAGGCACTGCCACCTACTTTGTGGCATCTAACCACTGTTTTTTGTTTTGTTTTGTTTGCGTAACTGGGGATTGAACTCAGGCCCTTGTGCTTGCCAAGAACTGTTTTTTTTTTTTTTTTTTTTTTCATGTTGTACTATGAATAACCACTATGAAGACAATATGCAATGTATTAATTGATTTATTTTACTTATTTTTTTGAGGAACCGGGGATTGTACTCGGCACCCAAGCTGTCATTAGCAAGCACAAGAAAGGAGAAAAGCTAGGACAAAATTGTCAGAAAACCTTAACCACAAATGCGTATTGGGATCTTCCCACCTAATGTCTTCTCCTGCTCTCTATAATAGGGACATCCTTCTCTTAGTTGCTAAAGATCTCGACGCAGTCTCTGCCTGAAGCCGGGCACAATAAATTCCAGGTCAGGTCGCCTTTACACAAGCCTGGTGGTCTCTGCTGGTCCCCACCCCCCAGCCCCGTAGGTTACAGAAGGCTGGAATCTGTTTCGTTAAGCCCCAGTCCTTAGAATATTGCCTAGCCCTCTAGCGCCAGCGCCCAATAAAGGCTAAACGGAAACCTCCAACGCCCGAATTGCCTGCGACGCGTGTGTACACTGTACTCGGCGAACAACGTCGGCCGGTGGGCCTGGGAATTCCTGGACTCCCACACGGTAGCTACTATTTTTGGTCCACCTCAGCGCCTTGAAAGTGTGCGTCCCAAGCTCACCATCTCCAAGGTGAGCCAGCCCCTGTGCAACCTACCGGTCAAATTCCCGGTCCCTTTGTTCCTTTCGGGACCTGCGCGTCCCTCTGCGCTCTGGAGGAGGGGCGGGGCGGTTGCCTAGGTCACGCACACCTCCCGCCTCCCCCTGCGAGAGGGGCAGGGCGAATGGAGCGGCAGCGCCCCGCCCCCAGCACGGTGTGACCTGCGATTGGCTCTCGTTTGTAAGGCCACGCCCCCATGCGGGCTCACGCCCCGGGGCAGGTTTCCCCGCCGGGGTTTGGAACCCGACCTGGAGACTCAGATCGGGTGTCTTGGCCCCTTTCGGACTGGGGAGGAGAGGGAACGACGCGGGCCCACACCGCCGGCCTGCCGGCCTGCCGCAATAACTAATCTCCCAGCTCCGGCCCAGCGTTGACACTCTTGCGACCACAGGTCTCCTGGTTGTTCCTTCAGGAGACTGTGCGGCTCTTGAGGGCTGGATCCGGGCCTCTCCAGAAACCGGCTGTGAAGGGAAGGATCAGAGCCCCGCTGGGTGGCAGCACACTCCCGTCATCCCAGCAGTCTTGGAGGCTGAGGCAGGAGGATCACAAATTCAAGACAGCGGGCCCGTCACCCTCCCCTCCCTCCC